TCATAATCATCATAATCATAAGTGAACACTACTACAACCATCTCTTAGAATCCCATAAGTGCAATGTGCAAGAGAAGTCCCATAACCTCCCTTACACAATGAAGAAACCCTTAAGAAAGCCCTAGTAAGAGTTCACACCTTTCATACCTTCATTTAGTTTTACATTAGGGAGATATTTCCATAACCGACATAGACCATGAGAGCTACATGGAATCCGGTGTTCTACTCCCACACCGAAAAGAGAGGGTTAACACTTGCCTAAGGTGTAACCTTTCGTACATAGCTATCTAGGTGGATCCACTAAGCTAAAGTCCTATGTGGGCACATAGTTAAGGGTCAATGAGATTGCTCTTAGAAATCCTAACTTACTAAACGTGGGGATTTCCATCTCATGAGACAACACATACCGTGGGTAATCCTGACTTGCTAAACGTGAGGAAACCCATGTGGGGAGCCGAACTTACTAAACATGAGACCCTCATCTCATTTACATGCCCTTTCGGTGCTAAGCATCTAATTCCCTTTTGTAATCATCTTTAGTCATCACATAAGTTCACATTAGCCTTTACTAGACTTTTATGAAAACATCTTACCATAATAGCTCATATGTGTTCATAAGTGAGTAACAATCCTTTCACTTTAGAAACACTTAGTAAGTGAGTAACCCTTTCACTTCACATTACACTATAATCATGAGAACTACTTTTCAATCATATAGCAATCATACCATAACATACATACATATTTCATAGCTAATTCAAGTGTAGAGGGTTAAGGATGAGGAAACTAGGTCATCGACACCACAACAACACATTAGGTATAGCATCATTACAGTCTAAGTAATTCACCTTCCATACTTGAGTTCAAAGAAGAACCAACCTTTATACCTTCTTGCCCTTCCTAGGACATTCATACTTCAATCACCAATCAGTTCATAACCAATACATAATACAAGGTAATTCATGAAGTAATAACATTATCAACATCAATATAATCAATTAACATATTCCCTTCATAGCCTTCAAGAATTCATTCAAAGACTCAACCCTAATTTCAAACCTAGGGTAGAATCATCATACAAACATGAATTATATAACATCACCTTCAATTCATAGCCTTCAATCAATATCCAACACAAACTAGGGTTAGAATTAGGAAAAGAAGGAGAAACATGGGTCTCATGGGGAATTCTTCAAGAAACCACAAATACAACATAAATTCATTCATAATTGTTCATATAACATCAATCAAAGTCAGTTTATTACATCAATTTCACTTTAGAAAGAAGACCCACGTTTTTGGATTGAAATCCTAGAAATTGGACATTTTGAAATTCATCTTGAAGGGGTCTCTTGGGGAAAGGAATCCCACGAGTGATAAGCAACCATACCTTAGCTAATTCCTTGATAACTGATGGGGAAAAATCGAAACCTTGCTTCCCTAGATGAACCTTGGTCTTCTTCTTCAATAGGGTTCTTAGTTGAGAGAGTTTTGAGAAAGAATGAGTTTGACTTGTGAGTTTAGTTGTGTGAGTTAAAGTCTTAGGGTTAGGGTTTTATAGTTAGGCTTAGAATGGTAATTAGTTAACTAACCACCCTTCTTAACCCTTAATTAAATAACTAACTAAAACTAAGACCCCTAAACTAAAAACTAAAAACTTAAAAACTGCCAGGACTTACGATCCTCTACCTACGGACCGTAGGTGCGGACCGTGCTGGTCATCTGTCGTTTGGTACTGAGGCTCCCTTTTGGGGGGGCCAAGTCTCCCACGACTAAGTATGGGCTCACGGCCATGACTTGCGGTCCGTCGACCAGTCTATAGGCCGTGAGTTTTGGTCTCGTCATTTGCTGCAGTTTTGACAGCTTTTGGGTCCATGTTTGGGTCCTCCTCAAGGACCTCTAGGAGGTCCTTGGGGGGGTCGTACCCGGACGTTTTGACCCTATGAACATAACTTACCTAATTTAAACCTTTTTACAAGATTATACCATCATACGACACTCCCAAACCTGCCCAAAACTTAAGGACACACTAGAACACATTCTTCTCTAGCTTTCGGACGTTGTGGTCGTTTCTTAACGTTTAGACTTTTACTCTTCCAAACCAAGTCAGTTACATTAGTTTAGCTTTATAAACATCATTTTGACTATTTTTAAGTCATTATTCATAAGGTGAGGCTCTAACTTTAGTCATAGAATTTATGGGGTGTTACATTAGGGATACTCAAAGTTACTCAACTCATTTCAATATAAAGTAGTAGTAAAGATGTATTATAAGAAAAGCTTTTAAAACAGTAGACAACAACTCAATGTATTAGAAAATACAATATAACTCAGTTTGTATGCAAGAATACAAAATAACTCTATTGTATATAAGAATACAAAATAACTATATGGGAGATTCTCTAACCGACAACCATCACTATGAGTTGTGTGATGATACAACGTCTAGCCCACGCTGCCAGAACTGTCCTATACTTTATCGGGGTATAGGACCTACTAACTAAGTGAATCCACTAGTCTATGTTAGAAAGAAATAAGGAATCATCTAAAAAGTATGACCCTTACTACCCACGTTGGCTACATGGTTTATGGGGGTTGTGAGTGTTAGAACTCTCCCCCATATCGGTGTTTAATACTACTCCCAAAATATAACTTAGCTCATCACTCTTTCTTTGGTTTGAGATAATTACTCAAAAAAATTCTCTTAAAAGAGATACTGCTCAAGAACTCTTTTGGAATCAGTGTTTCCTCTCATCTTAAATGTAAAAACATTTAATCTTGGGAATACTTAATTCCCATGTATCATTTTAAAGAAAATGAACTCAACTCTACTCTTCCTCAAACTCAAATGCTCAAGTCTTAAAACAAGTTTTAAAAGATTGTAAAAGACTTCTCAAAATGACTCTAATGAACTCTCAAGACTTGACTTTTAACTCTACCTTGAATTGGAATTATGAATTAAAGGGTTATGCTTTGGAATGTAGGATCTCTTAATGATTTAGGAGGGTTAAGATAGTTGATCACAAGAACGAGTGAAAACCCAAATTAAAGAACACCGACACAACGCGAAGATGAAATTAAATTTTTGGTCGCGAAAATATTTTTGAGGCAGAGGACTCCGTATCCTCTCCGCGACGCAGAGATGGGGGTGAATATCTGGGGACTGAAATTCTAGGCGCCTCCGTGATGCGGGCCTGAGCGCAATTATTTGCCCGGTCTTTTCCTCTCCTCCCACTCTTGATTCAACTCATACCCACCGCAATTCTAAGGTCCAATCACGAATTTTCATTACTCAGAACAGTCCCAACGAAACCCACACAGAGAACTATTAGTTAACTTCATGAACTCAAAGCAACACTAAATTCCCAATTAAATTCAATAACTAAGAACAACACTTCAAGAACACTCACCAAGAACTTAAATTCATCAATCTTTATGGATGGATTCGAATATGTAAATCATGATTGATGTGTGGGTGAACGAACCCAACACTATGAAAACGTACATACCTTAATTTGGTGAAATCCTTTGACAAATCTGCCGAATCTTTGACGAACGCCTTGAACTTTTTCCTCTTTTCTCCTCCTCTTGAACTCCTCTCAAAACCCTAAGCGTATATGGGATTTGTAAAACTGATCCAAATTAATTTTGACCCCAAAATTACTAAATTCGTTTTAAGCTGAAGGGGTAAGGAAAAGACCAAAATACCTCTCATATTTTTGAGTAACTTTCCTTAACTGGACAGACAGATTTCAAATGGTTATATCTCCCTCGTCCGAACTCGAAACTTAGCAAACTCGGTGGCGTTGGAAAGAGGATTCCAAGACCTTTCATTTGATATGTTATGGGCTACCTAACTCATCCTGTATTGAAAGTTATGGTCGTTTGAAGTTGACCCAAAATTCACAACTTAACAAAATTCTCAAGTTGGCTCTTTCCAAATTGGTTCTTTCTATTTCTAGTTCTTTCTAAGGCGGGATGTTACAATTATTACAAGTCATATGAACTTTTCTTCATCTAAAATACTGAAATATTAAGAAATAGTAAATAAGTAAAACAAAAGGGCAATGTTTATATAGTAATAACTATTTTGAAGTAAACTTCTTGACAATCTAAATCACATAAGTAACATTGATAATAAAATCATTCTTTTGTCTTGAGTATCAAAATAACAAATCGTGACAATTCTCTTAACTCTTGAGAAGTTTAATAATTTTGGAAAAAGATATTCATAAGCATATATTACATCAAAGAGAAATTGTTAACAAAAACAAATGAATTTAGACTACACCATATTAACTTCATATATTGGAACATTACATACTAATGTATATATTAAGCAAAAAAATAATTATTATATCATCAAAAGTATTTTCCTCAAGTACTCGAGGTTATGGAATATACCTTCTTAGGATAGAACGATTTAATTCATGAGAATAGTGGTACCTCATATTCCGCTAAACTTCAAAGTCACTCAACGACAATAAATCACACGAAATTTTTTAAAATGCAAGAAGAAGAAGAGTAGAAGATTAAAAAAATTGTGGTTGAAAAATGAGAGGAAACCCCACTATTTATAGTCAATAAAGGGTAGTATAAATATTTTTTGTGTCTTATCTGAAAAGTAATGACTTTTCCGAGAAGTCACAACCCTTTGAAAATGTTACAACTCATTGAAAAAGTTACAACTCATTGAAAAAGTTACAATTCATTGAAAAATCACAATCCTTTAAAAAAAATCACAACTCATCGAAAAGTCACAACCTAAGTTAGTGATATTATAGTATTTTAACATTTAAGTCAGGAGTTCATGTTAATATATATATATATATATAATAATAATAATAATAATAATAATAATAATATACATTAGATTTGAGTTATAAATTTAGCCAAAAACTCTAGTAGTATTATTTTACCAAAATATAGTACCCAAAGAATAAATGGGGAAATATTAAATAAAAAAAAATCTACATCGGGATTCAGGCGAGAAAGAGAAAGCTCCATTTTGAGAATTTCCTCTCACCGGAGGGCAATCTTCTTCGATCTCGCACGCACAAACACGCACTTTTGGGTGTCTAAATTTCCTCAAACTCAAACCCTAATCCTCAATTGCGATCTCCATCTCTATACCTCTGTGTTACTGTGAAGAAGAATTTGAATTGTAGGGGTTAATCGATGATCAAAGGCACTGTGACTTCTTGAATTGAAGTCACGGTTTTGGAAGAGAATGAGCTGTGTGGTGAAATCCTGAGAACAATTCGTTGTTATTATTGCTAGAAACGCCATGTGGTTCTCCTTTTGGAGATCCAGAGAGCGATTCTCCTTGGATGAATTCAGGTAACTTGCTGTACTTTTGAATAAATGTAGAAAACTAAAAATAGTTGATTCAGGTTGGAATACTAGTGGATATAGATCCTCTGGAAGGTTCTAGAATCATTTTACTTGGATCAAATGGAGAGAATTAAAAAGCATTGATTTTATTAGTGTATAGTTGTTTAGTATAGAAGAAGGTAATAATGGATAATTTTTATGAACAAAAGTCAAAGTGGTTTTAGACTGTGGAGCTAAAGTCAATTTACCTTCTTTTCTTCATGTCATAAGAATATATTTATTTAAACTATTTATACAGTGGGAAATACTTGAAAGCTGGCCCGAACACCTCATTATCCAACTGCTCTTTATGTACCCCTAGTACGAAGAGGCGCTGGACACAAATACTTACTTGTAAGTTGAACTTGTAGATCTTTTGGTCGTACAACCTTCCCTTTGACTTGATACTACCAGGTGAAGGCTTTATTGGGAGCTCATTCATTTTAATATAGATGAGCAATATAATCGAGGTTCTTTGCTTTTGATGTCTACAATTACCCCCGTTTTTGACCAAAACCTTGAATCATATATAGATACATTTCTTTAATTCGGAAGAGGATAATGAATTGTCCACAATCCAACCGACTATCTTGTCAAAAAGCCTATATTCCCACTACCTTCCAAAATCTTACTCTCTTGGCTTAGTTTCTTTCCCCTTGCCCATCTATGATGAGGGAACTCTTTCCTATTTTGCGCCACATCCAGGCGCTGAAGTGGTGAGACTATCTTCTTTTTTTTGATAAAGTTAACATGACTAGCTTCTCTACTCACATTCGTCCATGACATGGGGACCTGTTCCCATTTTGCACCACATCCAGACACCGATATGGCGTGACTAACTTCTTTACCTATACACATTCATGATATGAAAGCCTTATCTCATACTCCACATCCAGGCAGTGATGTGATGGAATCCCTGGCCTATTATTCATTATATCCAGGTGCCACTGTAATGTTTGCTTACCTGAGCAGGCCTGACAATATCTTTATTGTGAGAAATCATCATGAATTGTCTTATATCAGTCTACCGCAATGGCACAACCTTTCTCCTCTATCTGGGTTTGGGACTGCCAATGTGAGCTTGCTCTAATATAGTGAAGTTCAAGCAATAAAACATGATAATTCATATGGAAAACTGTGCTGCTTAAGTTGCAGTGGAAAGTAGTCCGTATTGCAGGCTATTCTTGCACCCCCTAATTGCGAGCTGTATACAGAGCTATACCAACAATCATCATGTGGGAACTATGGAAAAGAAGGAACTCAAGGAGAGTGGGGGGGACATCACATTCGCAAAGATGGTCTTTCAGGTGCAAACAACTGTCAAGCAGTTGGTCGGGATGATGTATCCATGGATAAAAAGCTTTCCTGTTGAGTGGCCAACTGTAATTGCTGTGGTGAAAGACTACATGCCTAAGTTATACTATTGTAGTGTAAAATTGAGATTTCCAGAAGGTGACAGAGTCAAGTGCAATACTGATGGGGCAAGTTAGGGCAATCCTGGGTCCAAGCTCATATGGGTTCTGTCTGAGGAACAAGAATGGTGATCTGGTATATGCTCAAGCAAAAGGAACTGGGATCACTACAAACATTGAAGCAGAGACTGTGGCAATCCTGGAGGCCCTAAGGTACTGCTGGAGACATAGAATGATGGATGTTCTGTAAGAAACATACTCACTAAGGCTAATGAACATAATACAGGAGGTTCGGAAGGTACCCTGGAAAATAGCTGCGGAAGTGGAAGAGATGAGGGAGACAATGCACAATCTACACACTTAGGCCATCCACACATTCAGAGGAGGGAATCATCTTGCAAACTCACTTGCTAATACAACTATTGGACAACAAGAATTACATGAATATCATTCATTTCAGGATCTTCCACCGATTGGAAAGAAGATCTTGAACATAGACAAAGCTTAGATACCAGCATTAAGGGTGAAAACACGCAAAATCAACCAGCAATGACTAGACAACCAGAGATTTTTAAAGACACGAGCATCATCAGTGTTCACGACAGTCATATTTACAGTTCATCGAACAAAGGAGAGCATAAAGTACACAACAAACATATTAACAAGAGAGTATGCCTGGAAGGAGACATTACAACTGTGTATAAACTGTTTAGGCTACTCTACTCTACAATAACAACATACCTAGTGAAATCCCACAAGTGGGGTTTGAGGAGGGTAGAGTGTGCACAGACCTTACCATTACCTCGTGGAGGTAGAGAAGCTATTTAGGCTACTCTACTCTAGCTATCAAAAATACACTTCACCAAAAGTGAAAGCTTGTAGGGTCACATCAGACCTGGAAGATTGGAGTTCAACCGTAAACCCTACAAAAGCAGATGAGAGCATGCACCGACTTCTCCTGGACCTGGTCAATACTAATGTATCAGTCAACCAGCTCGAAAATCCACAAAATATAGAAGGGGAGGGAGGATCACCAAGGATAAGCCAGCTGAACCCAGACAACAACCTCCTTCTTCTTCTTCTTTGATTCCTTAGGGAAGAGATACCCCGATCACCTGGATTAGGAAATAAGAGGAATAAAATAACTTCAGAAACAGGAGGAATAAAGAGATCTAGTAAGGAGAGGGGAAGCACAAACTCTGAACCTTGGAAATGTGAAGCAGAGTAATGGTCTAACAGAGTTCACCATCGACTAGTGGAAGCACAAGCATAAGAACATCTAAAGGAGAAGGAGCTTAAGTCGGTGGTTCCAGCGACATGCCTCAGACAACATTCTCAGGTGCCGGCGGAAGCTAAGGAGAAGACTGTCGGATAATCTTCTAAGATATACCTACAATCCTTTCGATAGTACTTTTTTGTTTTTTGGGGCTGGGTTTGTTCTTTTGGACGTGGACATTTTATTTCATTATTGCTATTTTGTTTTGGGACGTTGGTCCATTTTTGATTTTTCAGACTCTGTGTTATTAATAAAATCGGTCTACGGACCACAATTTAATTATAGAAAAAGAAAGAAAAGTAGTCCGTAAAATTTAAGTACATGATGCTCAGATGATTGTCCAGGTTACTATAACAGTTCTTGATCATTGTGAAGTTTCAACTGCATTCCTGCCTATTGTGCAGATTTTTGACTGATCAGCTGATGAAAGTTCAAGTTGTTAATGAGGTCAACAAGGTAATTACATTGCCTTTACAATTTCCTCCTTTTCTTCGCTTTCTGTAGCTATTTATTTAATGCTGTCCTGCCATCAGGTATGATTATTCTTCATATATTTAAATCTTTTCTTGTGACATGAAGGATTTTGTGATTGAGGCACTAAGATCAATTGCGGAGTTGATAACATATGGTGATCAACATGATGTGGCCTATTTTGAGTATGTCTCTGCTAAGGACCTTTTAGTGTATACTGTTATTTTAGCCCGAGGCAGACCTAACAAGCTTTCTTCTTGTAATGTTTTTCCTTACAAGTGTGTCGGCATTTCTGCAGGTTTTTCATGGAGAAGCAGGTGATGGGGGAGTTTGTACGTATATTAAGAATTAGTAGAACTGTTATTGTGTCGCTTCAGTTGCTGCAGACGATGAGTATTGTGATCCAAAACTTAAAAAATGAGCATTCTATTTGTAAGTGAGCTGTTGGAATGTGTTTTACTGAATCAAATATTCTTGCCTTTAGGCATTTTGTTAGTCTGACACTTCTCCCCAAATTTTGCAGATTACATGTTTAGTAATGAGCACATTAATCACCTTATAACATATTCTTTTGACTTTCGTAATGAAGAGCTTTTGTCTTATTACATATCCTTTCTTAGGTGTGTTTCCTAAAACTCAGCCGCTTTAGAGGCATTTCCTTACTTTGAAATACAGTTTTAGTCAAGTGCTTCTTGCTGATACTGGTTTTCTGGATGCATGCATATTCAAAGAGCAATAAGTGGAAAGTTGAACAAAAACACCATTTCCCTTCTTGTGAAGACTGATAATGTAAGTTCAATTTGTAAAGTTATTAACTTCTTAATAAATTTTAAGGTTACTATTCTGTTTGTTTGAATTCTAGGCATGCCAATGTTATGTCCGTTGACTTAGCTCAGCTAGTTCATTGCCTTACTTGTTGACCCAAGAGAATTCTGTGCTGCTGTTTGTTTAAATTCTAGGCATACCAATATAATATTTGTCGACTTAGCTCAGCTTGTTCACAGCCCTACTTGTTGATCCAAGAGAGTTCTGTGCTGCAATTTGCTGGTTTGCTTTCTTATTACGGACCTTAGAAAAACTAAATTAATAAATGACCTAACTAGAGGTCCTTAGTTAATCGTTGAGAGCTTTGGAAGTGGAGAAACTCAAATATGATAGATGGGGGGAGCTATGATGAGGGAAGTGGTGGAGAGGTCTCTCTTGCATCTTTGATTTTCCTCTGTTGCAAGCTGGAGTTTGAACCATAGAATAGGTGCACTGTCCACTTTTGTCAGGGAAAAGATTTTGACTTGCATTGTTTTTGTTGATTGTTAACTTGGTTCAATAGACAAGTTCAGAAAAAAAAGCTTGGTTCAATAGTTTGAATTTTGATATATTCTACCAATCTGTTTTGAACTTTGAATTTAATCATTTTCATGTATCTTCATTTTTCAAAACATCCATCCCATTGTTCTTATCTTCTGTAGTTTCTCATCCTTTGCATTTCATTTGGTCTACATCTTTGAATAGGAAGAAGTAGTATCATTTCCACTCTATGTTGAGGCCATACGCTTTGCGTTTCATGAAGAAAGCATGATTCGAACTGCAGTACGTGCATTAACCTTGAATGTTTATCATGGTGAGCTTTCTTTTTATACTTCTTCTAAATTTCTCTATATTCTCCCTCATTCGCAGTGTTTTTGGTAGTATATTAAATGACCTTCAACGTGTTCACAGTTGGCGATGAGGCTGTTAACAAATTTGTTGCCAGTGATCCTCATGCCGATTATTTCTCAAATTTGGTCAAATTTTTCCGGGAGCAATGCATCAACTTGGACAAGTTGGTTAATGCTTCAAAGTAAGTAGTTTCTTTTTTTTATGTTGTCCTTGAAACTGGTTATGCATCACCTATTTGCTGTGTGACAAGTGATTTATGATGCAGGTGTATGGGTCCAGCTACCAGTGGTTCTATCCTTTCATCTGTTGATGAGATTGAGGATAACCTCTATTACTTTAGTGATGTTATTTCAGCAGGGATTCCAGACATTGGGAGGCTAATAACAGACCTCATGTTGAAGGTGCTGATATTTCCATCAGTACTTCCTTCTTTACGGATGGAAGTTGTTAAAGATAGTGTAATGACCTAAACCCCTCTCTCTCGTTCTTTACATGTGTAGTGAAAAATATAGAAGCACTAATATTTGGAAAGTTTACTTAAGGTCCTTGCCTTTACTAGATCAGTCCTCTGAGTTAACTTTTTTGCCTAGTGATATACTTCGCCTCCAATTGTAAGATAGGGATCAAGTCATCAAGTGAGAAATGTGGTAAAGGACCCCTAGGTAAAGGTCCACCGTTGAGCTCCTAGGCAGGCAATATGGATGGATGCGGCTTACCATATTAAAAAAGGAAGAGTTTTTATATGAGATAGTCACACATTTCAACATGGTATCAATATAGGTAGAGGTCTTGGCTTCGAGTCTTGCCGTCACCCACTATCAAAAGAGTTTCTACGTGCTTGACCCTTGAGATATAATTAAGTAGATAACAGTGTGCTATGGTACCATATTGAAGTGTGACAATCTCATCTAACTATGTCTTCAACATGCCCCCTCACATGAAGCCTGATTCTCTTCATGGGCTAAGCACGTGGAACTTTTTGATTATGGGTGACAATGAGACTCAAACCTAGGACCTCTTCATCCCCTAAACCATGTTAAAGTGTGTGAGCTTTTAGACAGAAGGTCACACACTTCAACAATTGACACTTTCTCTTTGGTCCTTTGTTTATTGGTTTCCCATTAGAAAAATGTCAAGAGTTGCTATTTTCTCACACATATATTTTCTAAGATTGAGCATGTCCCAACATTTAGAGCAAATCAAATAGGTTTTTTCATTTATCAGTTTTTGGCAAACAAGTACCTTCTGCATGTGTTGGTGGGAGGTAGCAAGTACCCAGTTGAATAGTTGAGGTGCGCACAAGCTAGTGTGGATACCACCATTATCTAAAACACAAAGTAGTATCTTAAGGGTCAGAAGCAAGTCTTATTTCTGTTTATTATTACAGTTCAGGTAAATAGAAAAAAAGAAAATGAGGGGAAATTGCAATAAAGCAATTTATATCATTTTTCTGTGGTTAACTCCATTTTATCCTTTTATCTTATCCCTCCTTTGAATTGCTTAAGTTGAAACTGATGATCGCAGTTAAGTTTTTCACTTTGTAATCAAAATTGTTCATTATCAAAGAAATAAATAAGAAGATAGATTTTGCTCCGACCATTAAAAGTGACTTTAAGATGTAATACAAGTTTTGGGATTGGGGTTAAAATGTAAAGCTTCTGTAGTTCTTTAGAAGGAAGTAAGTAGAAGTGGCTGTAGCAAGCTCAAGGGGCTTGTAGTGACACAAGATAATGGTATAAGAAGCTAGTATGCAGAGTGAACTTGGTAACGTGCATGGGTTTTCAATGAGTTTCCCTTGGGATTTGGTTTCCTCCCTTGGCATTTGTTGTTTTCACTGTATGCTGGTTGCTGGAATTTATCTCTCGATAGTCTTTTGTGGCTCATGTAGGTCTAATTTTTAACTTTCATGTTTCTTTAATGTAGGATGCAGGAATTGGAACCGCAACTTCCTTGTATTTACTTTGTTGCATCTTGCGCATTGTTAAGATAAAAGATTTGGCAAATATTGTTGCTGCTGTTCTTCTTTGTGATATAGAAACATTCGTCCCAATGTCTGAAGCTAAACTGAATGGTTTCATGGTTAACCATGATATGTCACATGAAAATCAAGATTCAGAAAATAGTGGCTTCAGATCAGATTCTGATGGTCAAAGTTTACGGGTTTTAATTCCGAACATATCCAGCTCCTTAAATAGTCACCCAGAAGACGACAGTTCTCAACCAGATCATGGGAGCACATATTCTGCGTTAAGGTAATTCACATTCCATCTTATTCTTAATTATTTGTTCTTTTGTAAAGGAGGTGAGCTATTAATTTGTTAGATGCATACTGCAAATTGAAGTTTGCTAACACTGCACTAGGTGAAATTATCATTAAAACATATCACATTCAATAATTGTTGTCTTGGATGAACAGTAACTGATAACTGCAGGGATGTAATGTTTACTGAATAATAAACTTAAGCACTCTGCTTTTAGAAGAATCTCTATCAACTTCCCTAGAGAACACTTGAATTTTTAAGTCATGACTTTTGGCAAGATTTTGGAACCTCCTATCATGGTTAAAACATAACTTTTTTGAGTTTTGCTTAATAAATAGTTGAAACCTGTCTGATTGTCAAATTCTATGAACTTCTGAGACTGTTGACTTTACTCAGTCATCGAATCTTAGTTTTCCACTTCACTTTTTTCTAAAGGTTAACCTTTCAGCTTTTTCTTGATAAGTAACCATTATCATATCTCATATCTTCTTATTATCATGTTTGTCTGTAGGATTTCTTATCATTTTGTTCTGTATATTTCTCCATTTTTCTCTCTACTCTACACAACACTTGTGGAGTTGTAGTTATTGTTTTGAATGATTTTCACTAGAAGTCTAGCACCAGCTCAGCATGAGTTGAATGAAAAATAGTTGTCTTTCTTTTGTCATTCTTTTACTTTCTTGTTTCTCCTTAGTTTTACTCTTATTTAGATGGTCTAGCAGTAAATAGTATTTAGAACTTCTTGAACGGTTTGGTTACTTCATTGTGTCTTACACCTATAAGTAGTACATACTGTAAACCAGTACATTTGGAGCGAGCAGCCCAATCACTTAAACTCATTGCTCTTTTTCCTGCAATTTTCTGTTCTGTAGGGAGGCCTTACTTTCTTATATTACTACTGGTGACGACGTTCAAGTTTCGGGTTCTTTAAGCATGTTGGCTACACTATTGCAGACTAAAGGTAATATAAGTGGTTTGTGGTTTTTTTCCTTCAGATGCTTTTCCCCACTCTTATAAGAACCTTTATGCCTGCAGAGCTGGAAGAATCAATGCTTGACGCTCTTGGAATTCTTCCACAAAGAAAACAACAGAAGAAACTCTTGTTGGTATGTTGCTGCCGTAAAGTAATCATTATATGAAAGTGATTTTTCTGAAATTAAGTTGGAGATTTGTTTCACTAGTTTCTATTAAAGTAGGTCCCATGCTTTAACTTTTGGAATGTGAAATGTGCAAATATGAAAAGCCTATCCAACAATAGGTTAGCTTAAGATCTATGACCTTATGAATTATGATGTTAGATAATGATTATTGCCTATATGTGAATGTACTATCACTTGACTAACAAAATCATTCATAAAACTGATTTACCTTTTTGTTAATTGAATATTACAATGTAGCTACAAGTGATACTACTACAACATCTATGCCTCACCCTCAAGCAAGTAGGGGTAGGCTATATGAATTCCCCCCAACCATGTTTCTTCAATTGAACTCTTCTCAGTTCAATATTCTAATAAAATAACAAAATATTAATAAAAATAGCATTAACAAGTACTAGAAGTTCTTTGGTAGGCATCCTTCTATCACATAATACCCTAGTTGCAGTTCTCCTATCAACTGTTCGATTTTGATTCTATGTGTAGCATCTTCATCTACTGGAACGAGCCTAAACATTTGAACTGTTTGCACTTAGGCACCACAATTCGGTCTAATCTCACTTCAAGGTGGGGCTAGTCTCTGTGGTGGACAAGATGCATAAAGCAAGACTGAGATGGTTCAGGCATGTGAAGAAGAGGAACACAAATGCCTAAGGTGTGAGAGGTTGGCGAAGATAGATTTGAGGAGAGGTAGAGGTAGACAAAAGAAGAATTGGGAGAGGTGATTAGACATGACATGACACATCTTCAGCTTACTGAAGACATGACCCTAGATAGGATATTGTGGAGGTCAAGGATTAGGGGATACAATTAGTAGATAGTTGAGGGTTCTCTCGTGCAACTGATATAGCTGGGTCTAGTCTAAAGTGCTTACCTTTTGCCTTGCTAGTATTATTATTACTGTTGAAGTGTGACCATCTCATCTAAAAGCTTAAGCGGTTAGAGAGGGCACACTTTTATTAATTGTATTCTCAACACGTCCCCTCACGTGGGGACCTGATTCTTTCTTCATGAGCCAAGTACATGGAAATTCTTTTTGATATGGGGGACGGTGAGATTCGATCCCAGGACCTTTGCCTGATACCATGTTGAAGTGTGTGGTCATCTCATCTAAAAGCTTCAACTGCTTGAGAGATCACACTTCTATTAATTGTATTCTCGACAATTATTATGCAAGCATTATCTTATTCTTCGATTTTATTACTACTGTTGGTTCTCTTACTTCTGTTATCTATAATATTTTTACCTTCAATACTTTTCTTTCTTCAATATTTTTATTATAGCTTTTCACTCTTGTATATCTTTCAAACCACGTTCTGATATAAGGGTAAGGTCTGCATACACCGCATCTCCCTAGACCCCACTTGTGAGACTATACTGGGTATGTTGTTATTGGTGACTAAACTTGCAGTGCATATATATAGTCTTACTTCTACTTACCCTAAAACTCTTAGTGGTCGTTCGGTATGCTGGACAAGCATAAATAAATCCGGGATAAAAATTTGGAATTGCCTTATCCCATGCTTGGTCCCTGGATAAAACAATGAAAATGGAAAAAACACCCCTGAGGTCCCTCAAACCCTTTCTCTGCTAAATAAGGTAGAGGATATTTTTGTAAACAAACAACCTTTTTTTAGAAATTATGCAATGCACATTATTTTCAATACAACAAACCTAGTCAATAAGAAATATTACCAGGATAATTAATCCCGGCATAACTTGTCTTCAAACCAAATTCTAGAGTGATTCTCCATGTTCAAGCTTTTGGTGACACCCTCATTGGTTTCATAAGTTGCACAATATCATAGACAATAACATACACCAATGATTTCATAAGTTAGCACAATATTGTCGACAAATAGCATACACCAATGGTTTCATCCTGCATTGTGTTGGTTAGCTCATCCATCTCAAGGGTAAATAAGTACAGGCTCAATACCGATCCCTAGTGTAAACCCACGATTATTAGAAATTCCGTTGCATCTCTTACTTCTATCCTCACACTAGTGATGTGCCCTTCATCCATGTCCTTCATGACATTTATTTAAAATGTAAATTCCTTTGGTCTCCAATACCCACCAATGAACCTTTTTAGATACTCTATCATATGCTTTCTTTAGGTCAAGAAACCATGTGCAAATATCTCTTCCTCTTGCAATAAACTTCCATCAATCTCCATTGCTAAAAATATAGCTTCTGTTATAGAGCTACCAGGCATAAATCCAAACAGGAACTTTGTCTCTCTTGTAATGTCCTTACTCTTTATGTCTATGCTCTTATCACTTTTTTCCTGAGTTCCATTGTATGACTCATAAGTTTAATGCCATGATGATTCGCATAACTTTGGATGTTTCATTTGTTCTTATAAATTTGAGTTCAGGGTACTCTTTCTCCACACATCGGGCATCCTACCACATCTTAATATAACATTAAATAGCTTGGTAAGCTATCCTACTCTAACCTCTCCAAGACACTCTAGACCTCTATGAAGATACTACCTGGGCCCCAAGCATTTCTGATCCTATATTTTTATGGCATTTTTAACCTAGGCCAGCCTAGTTCTATGAATGTAGCTAAAGTTCCTACTGCACACAGATGTTTGGAGATCCAGAAGGTCTATATCATGGTTTGAGTTGAATAATTGATGAAACTAGCCTCTTTATCTCGTTATCTTCTATAAACAGTTGTTGGGAATCATCCTAATATACTTTACCTGTTTTAAGTCCTTCTCTTCTCTCTTGGTCATGTTAGTTTATATATTTCTTTCTCCCTTTCTGTTGTCCATAGTTTTTGGTACAAGACATCTAGGGCTTCCCCTCAAGCTTACTAATAGCCTTCTTAACTTCACTGTTAACTCTCTCATGCTCTTCTGCTTTTGCTAACTTCTTATAGCACACTCTTTAGGTGTAATAACTCTTTATACTTCCGCATTTCACCACCGAGATTCTTGTGGTCGAGGTCCTACATCTTTAAACATACCTAGCACTCCATGTGCTACTTTTTCAATGCAAACCTGACATTTTCTTCCACATGATGTTTGTGTCCCCCCCTCTAAGTCCCATACTCATTCCTCCTATAGTTTTTCTTGTAACACTAACTAGTTAGCACCATTTAATGTCCTCTACTAAATTCTCGATTGCTTGCAAGTTTTCCCCTTTCTCAACTCTTCCCTTACTCTTTACATCCAATACCACCAACCTATGTTGGGTGGTTAGTTCTACTTCTTGTATAACCTTACGATCTTATATTAGAGATTCTATCCGTCTTGTAGTTAGAATAAAGTTATTAGGTGGGAATTCCTTTTTTTAAGATGGGTTAGCTGCCACCAAATCATAAGCTAAAGTGAACTCTAGGATAGGCTTTACTTAATCTTCTTGTGACATATACATATTCATCATGTACTTGGTCAAAGCCACCACTCTTTTTGCCCACACCCTTCTATATTATGGGAACCGTTTCTGATTTTGTACCACATCTGGGAACTGATGAGACATAACTCACTTCTTTACCTATATACGTCCATGATATGGGAAGCGCTTATAGTCCCTCACACTCAAGTAGCATGGTGATGGTGCCCCTTGCTTATTTTCCATCATATCGGGTGTCGGTGTTAAGTGTAATTTGTGCACGTCCCTATGATATTTGTATTGTGAGACTTCATCATGAAAATTGCTAGTTTTATGCAAGCTGCCCACCTACTGCAACCCTCCTTCGTTATCTGGGTTTGGGACCGGCAATGTGAGCAAGCTTACACTACAGAGTTGTAACTACATGTGAAACTAACAATTTAAAATTGTTAGAATCAATCCTTGAATTTTTGTTACCAGTCTCAGAAAAGAAAATAATATATATCCTTGAATCTCATTATAGTTTTTTAAATGGAGATTGGGTTGAGTTACATTGATTAAGGATTAAGTTTAATTAAATCTACATTGACATGAATCTACTCTGAACCTTGTCAATTCCTGCTCTTTTGATGAGCTTTATGGAATGTATTATTTTTTTCCTCGAGGAAAACTAAACCCAGGTTTTATGGGCAGGGGGACATTAGAATCCGTGAAGTTTGAACTCAGTTATCGTGAATCTTACACCACAACTTTGCTATCTGAAGGTGCCGCTATATTTTATTGAGCTATTAATAAAATATTTCAAGTGTCCTGTTTGTCCTATTATATCTTGTTTCCTGTAATAAAGAATAAATTCTTGGTGTCACTAGCCTTTTCACTTTACTATCCTTGGCAATGGTACTGATTAATTGCCATTATTACTCTCAAAACAGTTGGATGACTAAGATTGTGACCACACCTTATGGGACCAGTTTATGGAGATCTATAAGAGTCTTATGGGAGGAAGTTAAACTCAACTTCAAGATGAAAGTGAAGAATGGGAACAAGATCAAATTCTGGAAGGATGAATGGCATGAGAAAGGTAACTTGGAAACCCTTTTCCCTGATATTTACAATTTGGCAATGTTCCAACAAAGGACTATTGCAAAACTCTGGACACCACAAGGGTGGTATTTCATCTTCAAGAGACAACCAAATGATTGGGAAGTGATGAGGTTGGCAGAATTCCTCAACATGGTTGGACACTTTACTGGACTTCAGGCAAATGAGGATATGGTTTGGTGGAAAGGCAACAATAGAGGAGAGTTCAAAGTACATTAAGCTTATAGGTTGATGGATCAATAAACCCAGTAGAGCCCCATCTGGCCTTGGAAACAAATATGGAAGTACAGAATTCCACACAAAGTTTCATGCTTTATTTGGCTGCTAGCTAAGGAAGCTGCCTTGACTCAGGTCAACGTAATGAAAAAGGGGATAACCTTGTGCTCTAGGTGTTTCCTATGTGGGGAAACCTTAGAAATTGTAAATCATCTATTTCTACACTGCAAATATACTCAGCAGCTTTGAAGGACCTGGACTATGCCTAGGAGAGTTACCGAGGCCTTATATAGCTGGGAGGAGGCAAGTGTCCTTGCAAAAGACAGAATTAGATGGAGAATTATCCCTGTTTCATTATGGTGGGCAATTCGGAAAGAGAGAAATTCCAGATATTTTGATGGCATAGAAATTAGTGTGCAGGAAGTTAAACTAAACTGCTTTTTGTTGTTATGTTTTTGGTGTAATCAATTATACTCAAAAGACACTGCTTCTATAGTTGATGTTTTAGACTCAATATAGAAATAGAGAGGTGGAGTTTGGAGTGCATTTCTATATAAGGTTTGAGTACAACCCATGTACTTTTGTGATATAATACAAAGTTACCAAGTTAAAAAAAAAAACTAAGTTTCTGGAAGTCTACTCAGTGTGGAGGTAAAGAAATGGGAGATGCTTTAAAGATAGGTCCAATTCTATTCATAAAGTAAAACGGAATTGTATTGTATCTTTACTTTTTGGTGTAAACAACTTTGTATAGAAGATATAGATCAGATTGTAGATTTGATAGATCTTTGTAACCTATTCTCTGTTTTGGAGGTGGCCAGCACACCCTAATGCCGAGGAATACAACTTTAGCAGTTTCAGGAAATAAAGAGAGATCTACTCAGTAGGTTTAGACCTCTTGATTTGAGTGTAATAACATGCATGCTTAAAGCATGTTTTTCAGGATAGTCCTCGATAAACTCTTAGTTTATAATTTCATGAATTTCGACATCCTAAAATTTTGGGGAAAAATGACGAGAGAAAGGAGCTTAGTCCCACTTATTTTCCACAAGTCATTTGTCTCTGATCAGTCTCTCTCCAGTCATCTTGATGATCCAATATTACAACAAAAACAAATTCAGTGTAATCCCACAAGTCGGGTTGGTCTGTATACCATTTTTGCATAGTTGCTGGATTTTGAGTTAGAATATGTTTTGTTTTTTACCAATCAGGTGCTTTTTCTATTTCAGCTTTCTGAGATCTTCAATATTTCACGAGTACTTTTTAAGATAGTGTGCCGAATCTTGCCTTTCATAAATCTTCTAACTATTCAATCTAAGGTGCTGGGACATAACTTTAAACACAAATACTATTTGCAAGTAATGAAATAGTATTTGCAAATCAATGTTTATTTTACAGTTTTGCCCATTACTTAACTTCTACTTGAAATTGTGAATTTGATGTTGGAGAACTTATTTGAGGTGTATATCAAGTGAAATAATGGTTTTGACTTACCAAACTTCATTCTTTTCTCCAAGTGAAAGTTATGCCTAAACATCGGATTCAAGTACTCTCTCCATTTCAATTCGTGTGGCTTGATTCAGAGTATTAGGGTCAAACTAATGTTCTATGTAAATTTAGACATAGAATCTTCATTTTTTTTTGAAATAAAATATATATATTTAGAAACTAAATAAAAAGTACTAAAGTTACTATGGTTAACAATTCAAGATATTTAGAAAGTATTTGAAAATATCGTGGTTAAATAAAATATTCTTTGACTTTCCATATTGTAACTAAGACACAAAATTTGAAACATAGGGAGTATTATTTTTCAAATTGAACTTCACTCGTTTCAACCTTAACCATATATTGTCAAAAAGGGAAGAATCATCAAGTATCTACCTTGTGGAAATAAGACACCCTTACCGGAAGATATCTCCCTACTCTAGATAATCTAAGTTTTTTTGATAAATACTCTAAAGATAGTTTAGAGGGGTTTTAACCCGCTCACTCAATTTAATTTGATTATCTAGAGTATATAATTTAATTAGATTAATTAAATTATCTACTGTAGATATCTTATTAAATTGAGTGAATAGGTTAAAGCCCCCCCCCCCCCCCCCCCCCACACACACACACACACACACTCACAATTGAATATGTGGCAAAATAGTTGGGATAGCTTGCTGAGAGACACGTGAGAGATGAAAAAAAGTCTTAAAAATGAGTCCATATGGCACAATGAGTTTTAGAGGTTCTGTGAACACCCAATAGTTTAGTTATGAAACATGAAAAATAGTGATAGTTTAGGTTTTAACCTATTCACTCAATTTTTTTTCACGTGTACTGCCATTTGGAACTCTTTGAGGAACTTTTGGAGCGTGATGTTCACGTAGCATGTCATATTTCTCCAGAGAATATTTTAATATGAGTTCATGGTAGTTCAGGGAGGTTTTGTGAACACCCTAGTTTAGGTATGAAACTCGCAAAAGGTGATAGTTTAGTAGGTGTTTAACCTATTCACTCAATTAAATTTGTAGCTTAACTTTGCAAAATGAAAGCTAAGACTTAGCCTCTATCACCTCTTGTTGTGGAACCAAATTTCTGATGATTTAGCCATCTATATATGTTGTGACCTTGTGGAAGGTAGACACTCAACACTGATTTATGTATAAATGCTAAGTTGTGCAGACTCTTCACTTTCGATGCCGTACCCGTGTCAGATTCTCCAAAAATACTCTACTTTTGGCGAATCCGACACACACCCCTTGACATTTTTGAAGAGTCTAAGCAACATAGTATAAATGATAACATCAACTGAAAAATAGGGTCTGTACAATGTTCTGGCTGAGACTATTGAGCATTTGGGTCGAATGGAAAATACTTTTACAGTTTTACTTATAAAAAAAGGAACTATTGAGCATTTGTGTTGTAAAGATGCTTCCACTGGCAGTTATTTCTCTTGATGGAAGTGAGAAGATGAGATATCCTAATTTAGCATTCCTGAAATCTCTTCCTCATATCTATCTAAAATCCAGTTTAAGGAGATAGAACCAATAAGCTCCCAGGGCTTTGCTCTAGTGGTAAGAGCGCAATGTGTGATGTGTAGATTAGGCGTATGACATGGGTTTGAACCCTGTCGCAGGGAAAAGGATGGTATTTAAGTGAAGAAGGTTAGAGGAGCGAATCCATTATTGAACCGCACACTGCTGGCGCTCAGAGATTTCTTGGTTGTTCAAAAACCAAAAAGCTGACCTAACTTACTGCTTAGCAGTTCGTCCAGTGGCTACATTTTGTATGTGCCTTCTTTAGCAAGTTCATCCTTATTTGTTTCCGTTCAATATGCCATGTTTTTCTTGTGGTAAAGAATGTATTGCTTGGTGACTTGATTGATAATTTTGTAAGTATAGTTCTTGCCTTGTTTGTGACTACAGGAAGCTTTGGTTGGTGAAGGATCTGCGGAAGAGCAACTTTTTTCCTCAGAAAATATGGTAAAGGATGGAATAGGTAGTGAAATGGATTGCTACTTCCAAAAGTTGAAGGTACTATTGCAGTATTGGTTCTCTTTCCCATCTTTTCTCATTTTCAATTTCTTCTATGTGTTGCTTTCCTTTAAATATGGAGAGTAACTATGAGTTAGCAGCCCATTGTGAATTCCAAATTCATCTTGCCCTTCTGGAAATGACAGATTAGACATTCTATTTAGTAGCAAATCTATCCTTTAAATCTTGACTTGGTAGTTTTACTATTGAAATCCTCCTAACTTATGAAACTGTTATTAGTTTTTGGAAGTTCCTTTTGGATAGTGATGTATGATACTTGTTAGAGTCCCACATCGGTGTGGAATGTGGTAACTTTTTTCCCTTATATGGTCTTGGACTCTTGGGCAATTTTAACCTCTTGAGCTAGTCTTCGTGGTTGAGTGAGGCCAAGGTCCATTTTCTCATCAATACTTATGAAAGAAAAGGAGTAAAGTGATATGTGATCTAAAGAAGCCGGCACTTGTCAGTTGTATTATAGGCTAGATAGCATTCACAAACTCATTTTTATTTCATGAACTGAAGTGATCTATTCATTGGGTGTGAGGGACTGTCATTTTTTTTTTGAGAAAGTTAACTGGAGGGACTGTCATTTTTTCTTCCTTTAGCATTCAGTTTATCAGGGAAATACAGAAGCTTCCATAACAAAATTATGAATTTTTCCACATGAAATAAATAAGTTCAAACCATATAATGAGGAGATGTTGGTCCTTTTTTCTTATATAGGTACTTAGAAAGAAAGATATAGGAGAGCCTATGAGGGGTAGTAAATGATTTTGTACGGATTAGAGTCTAGTTTTTCTTTCTAGTCCAGTTTGATGTACCCATGAGGTTCATGTAGTAAAGATGTCCCAGGTGTTATTTGTAAAGAACTTAGTTGTAAGGAATAGGAGTGCCTTTCAGGGGGGATATTTTGCACAGATAAAGTGGTTTTTGTTTCCAGACAAGTTTTAAAGCACTCATGAGTGTCCTGTAGTTTCCTCGGGGATTAAACTAGTATCAATAACATTAAAAGAACACTTTCTTGATGACTCCTTTGGCAGGGCAGTCTTACATATGTTTTCTCAGGGATTAAACCATTATCAATAAAATGAATTATCACAATCTATGGAAGACAAGGAATATGTGGGAAATTATGTAGATTGAAAAGATATGGTGAGTTTTTGCACTTTCGATGCTTTCATTGCTGTGTGACTGAAGTATACTCTTGACCAAATGAAAAGATTACCTAAAGGGAATTGTCGAAAGACAAAATTATCCGATTGTTAATCAAAGGGCTTTAATCTGAGTGCCTAGTCCTTTTCGTTAGAGAATGTGAAATCTTTCTATTTCCCTTCTCCTCCTTAAGATGTTCATACAGATGGGGCATCCATATAATATGCCAGGGTAGCTCATCCACAATCCAGTCTGTACTTTGGAGTAGAAGGATTGATTGAGTTACAGAAGCTCAACTTTCTCTGAGAGCTAGTTGGCTGGCTAGTCTAGACAATATTGAAAGATGCCGGCGTATTTGGTTGGATTGTTTACTGTTGTTTTGAATGTGACTCAGCATATGTTTTGCAGTAAAATAAATTGGAACTCGTAGAGCTTTGTAGTAAGATGCAACTATTCTAAGTAGAAGACATGCAATGTTCCTCATTCAATATTAAGAAGTGAAGAACAAGAGGAATCTTAGTACAGTTGGTTGGCTACCTACCTGAATTTTCACTTTGTTGGTGAGGGTTCAATTCCCCACCTTGTAATCCCCCTCCCCCATTCCCCCTTCTCCTACCCCCAAATTTGTTTTTTTTTTTTTTTTTTGAAAAAAGAAGAGGTGAAGAATAACAGACGTGACATAGGTTCTTCGGATTTTAATACATGGATTTCTGTCTTTTTTTTTAAAACTGAAAAAAAAAAGAAAAAAAAAGACTATCTGTCTTCTATAAACAAAATCTTAAATTTTTGTAGGGAATAAAATTTCACGAGTAGGTTGTGAACTTTCAAGACCCAAATAGCCTAAGTTGCTCGGACTTGGGTGCGGGTGTCTGATACGGGTGCGGATCTAGAGGTCAGATCCTATAAGATTTGGGGATATGGGATCATGTACGGATACAGATGTGGGGATTCGCCTAAAAATAATTAAAATTTCTAAAAATAGAGTTATAAAATCTAAATTATAAGATATTATATGGAGAACTTGAGGAGAAACATGAAAGGAGATTAAAGGAAAAGGAGTGACATAGAAATTTCTATATAAAAGGTATTCCATTTTCTTCAATTTCACCTTAGCCTTTGTATTGATTATAGGAGTCATTAAAATTGTCCAGACTTTCCCCATCGATTTTGGTCCAAGTACCCAAAATCTGTTGACCAAATTGGACACGGATCCCACACCCACACCCATACCCATGTCGTGTCGTGTTGACACGGGTGCGACACTAAAAGTGAAGAGTCCGGGCAACTTAGCAAATAGCCATGTAGTTCTATGTTGGAACTCTGTTGTTTCATCTGTAAGCTATGCTTAGATATCTAGCAGTGTATTGACTCATGATATGTTAACAATTGAAATTTCTGGCCCTATTATTTCATAGTATCCATGTGTAAAATATTGTTTTAAGCAATAGGACTATTGACTCAAGCATTGGTGTACAACAAAAAATATGTTCCATCTTCCATGTGTGATATAGTTTTTTTTTGTCGTTAAAACTTAAAACTATCCAGGTTTGAGTTGGAATTGATGACATTAACTCTCAATGTAAAACTAAAACTTGAACATATATAGAAATTCCTTTAAGAATTCTATTACGATTGAGATTTGGTTTTCAAATGTTTTATTACAACTGAAGAATTATGATCAAAGTTATGACGATTAACCTCAAATAGGAGTTCATCACATAAACTGGGACAAAGTATTTTGCACTTATTAATTAAGTATATATCATAATACCTAAGCTATTTTAGTCGATGTTTGTTGGACACTCTAAAAGTGCTGCCGCACCCGTGTCAGTTGCTCTGAAAATGCACTAGGAAGACATTATTAGTCGCTTCTGAAAATGCTCTGAAAATCTCCAAACATAGATTTTAGTCGCTTCTTGCTTGTGCTGTCTGAGTAGGAAGACATTAAAAAAGAAATAAGCTCTAATGTTTGTCTGGCTTGGTGATGTCATAAAAGCTACCATGTCTAATTGTATTTAGTTTGATGTTATGACAGGAGAAATACGGATTGCTATGCGTGTGCAAGGAAGTTACAGTGACTCCTCGTAGACAGAGATTTCAAGTATGTATTTTGTCCATGGACTATCATGTGTTATCTTTTATGGTCACGTGATGTTTTGATAATCTCCCAGCATTTGACATAGAATCCCATGCTAAACCCATCTGGCCTAGGAGCATTATCAATAGTACAAAGTTTAAAGCTATCGAGAACCTCCTGTTCTCCAAAGGTTCTTTGGAGCCGTTCCTTTTCATGTTAAGTGATTTGGGTGCCCCCCAATTAAATTGAAATCTGGCCTCAATGCCTCTGATTCTGTGTACAGTTATTGATAGAACCTTATTATCTCTCCCTTGATAACTCTATGTCCTCCAAAGATGCTCCATCATCACAAGTTGATCAATGTTGTCCTCTTTGTGTGCATCTGTTGTGCTTTAGCCATAAAGCTCTGGACCTTTATCTCCGGTGAATTTCTGTACATTTACTACTTCGGATTTTGTAGAGAGATTTGCTGTCAATGCTAATTCCTCTTCATTCAAGTTCCTCTGTTGCTGGATTATGTCCAGTTAGGGGTGGCAATTGAGGTAGGGTGGAGCAGGGCACACCCTTAATGGGGAGGGGCAGGGGAAGCTTTAAATGGGTCAGGACAGGGCAAGGTCCGAAAATGGGGGATGAGATAGCTAGAGCCTAGAGGAGAAGAATTCGTGAAGAAAGCTGGAAAAAAATCATCGGTTGGAGACTTTTCGGCTCCTAATACGATGACACTGCAGTTTAAGTATTAGTTGGAATTTTTATTCCATTTCTTAGTTTTATTATATAGTAACAGTCACTTGAAATTAATGGAGTAATATTTTTTGAATTTTGTTGTTTTGTAAGTTAGTGAGTAATTAAAAGTAGTAATTTAAGGTTTGATTTGATATCTTTCTACATTTTAATTGTGACAGAATAACAAGTGTGCTACATGCACAAAAAATGCCCGAATTTCATGTTAATTTCTTCAATTCCAGCTAGCAGTTACCAGTCCATCCAAATTTCCCATAATTTACGAAGGTTGAGTGCAGCTAAAAATTCATGTAATGGGTTTGGGTTTAGCTTGGTCTTGCATTGTTGTTGTAAGTGGGGCGGGGCTGGGCAATTTTTTTATAAATGCTAAACAGGGTAGGTTAGGGCAGGTCAAAATGTTAATAGGGCAATGCTTGCCCCACCCCGCCCTATTGACATCCCTATTTCCAGTTCTGAAATCTGACTTAGAATGTTGGTTCTTCTTAAATTCCAAATTCCCTTAGTTGCCGAATTCCACACTTTCAGCTTTACTTTCAGGGCTTTCAGTTTGCTTGTCTGAATGAAGTCTCGACTGCCTTCTGCTTCAAAGGAGTTCCACCAGCTTTTTACTTGAGTATTAAAACCTTCCATTCCCAACCACTAATTTTCCAAATTTGAAATGGGACTTTGTGGAGTCCCAGTTCTCACATATCAGAGTTGTTGGCCAATGACCTGATATAACCCTTGGCGAGATACTGTTTAATGTTTTTAATTCCTCATCCCATTGAGACAAGAGAGAAGCAATTGAGAAGGTGGATAGAGCTATAGTTCCTACGACTCCAACAGAAAAGATCCCAAGAGAACTCAAGAAACAGGAACCAACTAGTAACTTCGTGAGCTATGGTACAAGAAGTAAGGGGGGGGGGTTGGTTGTTTCTTAGATGTTTTAAATGAAAGTTAACATAGTTTCATGCATTGTAAGGGAACTCAATGATCCAATGAAGAGGCTACTGATCAAAAACATGATGAATAATTGGAGGACAGACGTGTATTGTTTTCAGGAATAAAAAATTAATGGAGATTTAAGAGGGGTGATGATAAAAGAGATATGGGCAAATAGGAGGGTCAAATATGCACAATTAGAGGCATGTGGAACAAGAGGGTTATTATTATCTTATGGGATAGCAACATTTGGGAGGGTGAAGTTTGTGAAGTAGGGGCTTACAGCTTACTGTATCATGTGTAAGAAGTTTGTTTAGTGGACCTTGGGTGGTGGCTGGGGATTTCAATGTATTAAGGTACCCATCAGAAAAGAAGAACTGCAAGAGATTGAACAAGGCGATGGAAGATTTCTCCGATTTTATAGAGGATATGGAACTACAAGATTTACCACTGATAGGTGGTAGTTTCACATGGAGGAAAGGGATTGCAGCAAGACTAGACAGATTCTTGATTTCTGAGGAATGGGAAGTTTCCTTTAGGAAGATTAAACAATCAATCTTACCTAGAGTTATATCTGACCATAATCCATTGTTGTTGGAATGTGGCAACTGTGAGAAACAAACATCTTATTTCAAGTTTGAGAACTGGTGGCTACACTCAAGACTTTAATGAAAGAATTAAAGATTGGTGGAATTCTGCAACTTATGTGGGAAGACTAGACTATATACTAGCTTGTAAGTTGAAGGTACTGAAAGCTGAAAGAATGGGGCAAAACACTTCATGGCTATCTTGGTATGCAGAAACAATGCACTCTCAACCAACTAGCTGATCTAGTTTTGATTCAAGATTAAAGAACTTTATTTGAAGATGAGTCCTACTTGAGAGCGGTATTGACAGTGGAGTTGGAGGAAATTGCCAAGAGGGAGGAAGTGGCTTGGAGGCAAAGATCTAGGGCCCTTAAGGAAGGGGACAAGAATTCAAAATATTTCCATAGGATTGCTAACTGTCACAAGAGGTACAACAACATTGACAAATTGATCATGAATGGAGCTAATGTTACTGAACCAGCTGGCTACACTCAAGACTTTAATTAAAGAATTAAAGATTGGTGGAATTCTGCAACTTATGTGGGAAGACTAGACTATATACTAGCTTGTAAGTTGAAGGTACTGAAAGCTGAAAGAATGGGGCAAAACACTTCATGGCTATCTTAGTATGCAGAAACAATGCACTCTCAACCAACTAGCTGATCTAGATTTGATTCAAGATTAAAGAACTTTATTTGAAGATGAGTCCTACTTGAGAGCGGTATTGACAGTGGAGTTGGAGGAAATTGCCAAGAGGGAGGAAGTGGCTTGGAGGCAAAGATCTAGGGCCCTTAAGGAAGGGGACAAGAATTCAAAATATTTCCATAGGATTGCTAACTGTCACAGGAGGTACAACAACATTGACAAATTGATCATGAATGGAGCTAATGTTACTGAACCAGCTGGGATCAAAGTTGGAATAATTAGATTCTACCAGAAAGGCAGAAACTATATAGAGAGTCAAAGTATGGAGACCTCAATTCAATCATAGATTCTAACTCATGATCAGTGAAGGATAATATTGCATTGCAAGGCCAAATTGAAGAGCAGGAAATAAAAAACAGTGTGTTCTCATGTGCAAGAGATAAAGCACCAAGGCCCATATGGTTTCTCAATGGCCTTCTATATAGGGAAGTGATTAAGGAGGAAGTGGTAGCTGCCATCTAGAACCTCCAGGGCTATTTTGAGAGAAGTTTTAATGCCACTTTTATAGCCCTGATTCCTAAGAAAGTGGGAGCATCTGAATTGAAAGATTTCAGGCCAATTAGCCTAATTGGGAGCTTCTACAAAATCATCTCAAAGATCCTAACAGAAAGACTCAAGAGGGTTATGCCAAAGTTGGTAGATGATCAACAAATGGCCTTCATAAAGGGTAGACAAATTATAGATGCCATTTTGGTGGCCAATGAATGTGTAGATGTGAGAACCATATCCAAAGACCCAGGAATTCTTTGCAAGCTAGACATAGAGAAAGCTTATCATCACTTGAACTGGGAATATTTGTGGAGCACACTTAGGAGGATGGGGTTTGACAACACCTGGATAAAATGGATGAGGTTTTGTATGACCACAGTGAAGTTCTCACCATCTGGCTGGTTTGATCAATTTAGGAGGATGGGGTTTGACAATACCTGGATAAAATGGATGAGGTTTTGTATGACCACAGTGAAGTTCTCACCATCTGGCTGGTTTGATCAATGGCTCATCATCTGGCTGGTTTGATCAATGGCTCATCATCTGGCTTCTTTTCCTCTGAGAGAGGATTGAGACATAGAGACCCCTTTCTCCGTTTCTATTCATCCTAGCTATGAGAGGTCTAAGTGATATGCTGAAGATTGCTTAGGTTAATAACAAAATTAGGGGCTCCAAAGTGAGTGAGGCGGATTCACTAGGAGTGTCTATCTCCCACCTACAATATGTTGATGACACATTAGTATTTTGTGATGCAGAGAGTGAACATGACTGCATATCAATTGGGGGAAAAAGCTTTATCTATCCTGTGAATGAAGTACCACAGATCAACCCCCTGGCAAACATATTAGGTGGCAAGATAGGGCAACTTCCCACCTCCTATCTTGGCATGCCTTTGGGAGCTAAGAGTAAATCTTTGAGCATCTGGAACTCTGTGGTGGAAAAATGTGAAAAAAAAGTTGGTTAACTAGAGAAGGCAATAGTCAATACTTATCCTTGGGTGGTAGAGTCACACTTATCAACAATGTTCTTGATGCCATGCCGACCTATCTGATGCCCCTCTTTCCTATGCCTGAAGAAATTTTCTTTCGCAAGGTAATGAGGAAAGGGAAAAGAAATTTCATTTGGTTAAGTGGGATACTTTTATTTCCAACAAAAAAGAGGGAGGTCTGGGAATTAAGGATTTGAAAGCCCACAATAAGAGCCTTCTGCTAAAATGGCTCTGGAGACTAGCAACAGATGATCAGAGCTTATAGCTTATGGAAGGACATTATCTTTTCAAGATATGGAAAGGAAGGACCATGGACTACTAAGGAGGTTAATATTCCTTATGGTGTGGGTCTTGGAGAACTATTAGAAATCAGTGGCCAAGAATGTGGAGTAACTCTGTGATTAATGTGGGAAATGGGAGGAAAACCTTGTTCTGTAATGATATATGGATGGGGCAAACACCTTTGAAATGACAGTTCCCAGACATTTATATTCCCAAAATCAGCAGAAAATGGCCACAATTTTAGAAGTTAGAAATGAACACGAATGGTGCCTGATTTTCAAAAGGTTCCTCAATGACTGGGAAGTGGAGAGAATGACTCTGTTCTACAATACCTTGGAACAAGCCAAGAACCTCACTTCTGAGGAAGACAAATTAATATGAAAGCTGGAGAAAGATGGCAAGTTCAAAGTGAAATCAACCTACAAATTACTAGACATTTCAACGGAAACCAAGGAGTTGTGGCCTTGGAAGATGATCTGGAAAGGGAAGATACCACATAAGGTGACTTGCTTCACATGGTTGTTGCAAGACAATCTGTAGATACCACATAAGGTGACTTGCTTCACATGGTTGTTGCAAGACAATCTGTTTTGACTCATGATAACTTAATGAAAAAAGGAAAGGACTTATGCCCCAGATGTTTTATTTTGTGAATCTGAGACAGAATAAATCATCTTTTTTTGCATTATAAAGATATCGAGAAACTATGGAAGTATTTCATTAACTTGAGAGGTATCACATGGACCATGCCTAGAAATACTGCAGAAGTCCTAGCATGTTGGTATAGAGATGGAAATCAGCCAAGACACAAGGAGAGATGGAAGATTGTCCCTGCCTGCATCTGGTGGACAATATGGAGTGTGAGAAATCAAAGATGTTTTGAGAACAAGAGTCCCTTTCCAAAGCATTAAAATGAACTGTTTAGTGACCTTTTACTTTTGGTGTATCCATACTATTCCCAAGGATACCCTTCGGGGTGGCCCAGTGGTTTGAGCTTGGGACTTCCATGTTGGAGGTCTCAAGTTCGAAACCCCTTGCCAGCGAAAGCAAGGGGTTTGCCTTCTGCGTCGAGCTCGTCACACCAGGCTTGCCTAGTGCGGGTTACCTCTCCTATGTAGTTTGCGAGCTATTGCATAGGAGCGGGGGTTTTACCTTGTGCGCACCCAAAGGGTAGCGGCTGCGGGTTTCCCTTGTCATCAAAAAAAAAAAAAATACTATTCCCAAGGATCCGGGGGACATCACCCTATTCTTAGATAGTTTATGAGGGAGATAGTTGTTTAGATTCTTTTTGACAAATCCTCTATACTTTTGATGTAATTACTACATGAGTTCACTATTGGTGTACTTCTCTGGTTATAATACATGTTAACTATCTCAAAAAAAATATATATATTTTTTTTTGATAAGATATCTCAAAAAATAAAAAAAATAAAAAAAAAATAAAAAAACAATTCCTCATCCCATTTGGGTAAAGATGAGAAATCTATCCAGTTTGGATAAAAGAAGCTTTGACAGTTGTGTGTACCTTTGTACTCAAAATTCCAAACAAGTAGAAATAAGAATTTTTTTGGGGAATCACCCTGTACTGGTCTTTTGGATGAAAGAAAGAAATTTTCTGGATTGACATTTATAAGAATAGAGAACCTTTAAGTGGAAATGTGGTGGTAGTATTCAACTTCATATTGTCAATATTCATGTTTTTGAGTTAGCTTTTAGTAGGTAATTTGCTCCCTTGGTGACCCAAACCCACAACCTTAAGGTTAGAAGATGGAGGTGCTTTCCATTTGAGCTTGTCAACATGTCCTTGAGTTAACTTATTTTATTCTTCTTGAGTTGTCTCGAATTACTTACGGAGTAAGAGGGATTCAATAGATTTTTCATTCAATTGATCTGTTTGTCTACAATGCCCATAGTTTTCATAAACTTTTTAGTAGATTTGATGATATGCCTTTCTAATTCCAGTTTTCTAATCACTTGGGCTTCCTTCCGCCTCATCCTAGAATCCAGGCATTCATTAGCTAAAAGAACTACATCTATTATTTATCTCCCTTAGCAAAGCATTGTATCTTGGCAATAATATTATAGATTCTTCCTAGCAAGCTAATTAGCCTGTAATTTAATTTCTTTGCTTTCTTCTGTTTAATTCTTAAAGTTGTAAAGGTAGCAAAGCTCCTTTCAGAGCTCTCTTTATGATGAAGATTCTTAAAGTTTTGGATCACATTGTTTTCAAAATTAGCCAGTGTTTCTGATTAAATGCCATAAAATCATTGGGGATATGTCTCCACTATTTTTTGGGTTAAATATTACTCCATCCATCCCATTTATGAACTGGGTGCATAATTCAAGAAAGAAAGAAAGACTATTGAAGTTTGTAGTTTAAAAACAAGCCAGAGATATTTGTGTGGCCCTAAATCATTTTATTTAGGGTAAAATGAGAACTTCAAAATTAAATTGTTTTATAATATAAAAACATAACATTCGTTTTTTGATAGACTAAAAAGGAAAGCATGACTCATAAAACAGGACAAATAGAGTAGTACACAAGTGGTGCTTTCTAGTAGAGAATCGAACATGTTTCTCTAGTATTTTCTGGAAAAATGCTTGAAGAATTGTCCTTTTGTCAGTTTCTCAAACCTTATGTTTTTTTTCCTCTTTTATTTTTGTTTTTTTTGACGAAACCAAAATTTGAAATTATTTACAGCTTTGTTGTAAATTTGGAAGAATTTTTTCAATTCTTGGAAAACGTATGTAGCTTTTCAATTTTCAAAGGTAGTTGAAAGTTTTTCTCCAAAGTTCGGAGAGAGTTATTGTTTTGTTCCCAAATATTTGCAAACAAAATAAGCTTTAAACCTTATTCGCCCCAAAAGGCCATAGTTTGATATTATGAAAAGTTGAGGGATTGTCTACAACCATAGCAAAAATTAGCCATTTAATACGTGAAGTCCACATAAAACTCTACACATAATTTAAGCATCTTGGATTATCCTTGGAACTTATTATCAGTCCTCAGGTATGAAACAAATTTCCTACAAATGATGGACCCATCTGAAAACGACTTTGTTATCTTATATAATGATTTCGCTTATTGTATCATCTTCCCTTTTTGTTGATGAACATTAACCTGACACCAAAATAGAAGGCTGTACAGTATTTTTTTTAATCAACGAATTTGGCCTTTTGGGCAGCTTTTATTTATCAAGAAAACCTGTACAGTTGATTTAGGCTGTATAATATTTAAGAAATTCCTAGGTTCCAGTTTAGGCTTGTCATCATATGGCAAGAAAAAGAGAGTTGTGTGAAATTCAAGGTGCTACTTAAATATTTCTAGTGCTTAAAATTCATTAAGTAAGAGCTTTACAGGGACACAAATTTCAGTCTTTAGTATTGATGATTTAGTTACAGTTCTATTAGTAGCTCCTTGTTATTGGTCTTGTATTAATTTAGTTTAAGATTGAAAATATCATCAAATAAGTGAACTTCTTTTATAGGTACTCGATGCATTGGTCAGTCTATTCTGCAGGTCAAATATCTCTGCAGAAACATTGTGGGATGGTGGTTGGCTTTTGCGCCAGTTGCTTCCATACAGTAAGGCGGATTTTAGAAGTCATCATCTTGAATTATTGAAAGTAAGTTGTTTCTGCAAACAACTAGAAACTTACCTCTTGTACTTTTTCCTTTATTTTATCTATGTTGGTTGAATTTTTTATCTAATTGTGTCAGCAGTAGTTGGTGCGAAAAGGCTTATAGCATTAAAGATTGCACTAAGCAAGTTTTTTGAAATTATGAGGATTATGCCTCGATCACCCTACTCCCTTGGTCCCATTTTATGTGATACTTTCCCTTTTACTCTAAAGGACATTTTTATCTTTGAAACTGCTCAATTTTTATTTCCAGTTATGCTTAAGGACATGACTTGTTGGGACCCTCACCATCACTCATTTACTATTGAATGACTTGTGGAACTCTCTTCATCACTTATTTAAAAGAATACTTTTGGTGCTTTGCATATATTTGGTTAAAATTCTCTTTCATCTCTTAAACTACATGCAAGTCAACACCGTATAAATTGGATGGAGAAAGTAAGAATTATATCTTGTTGGACTTAAAATGCAAGTCAACACTGTATAAATTGGATGGAGAAAGTAAGAATTATATCTTGTTGGACTTAATATTTTCGAAGAGTCTTCATAGGAGGGTTGCTTCTTTCGTTCTCTTTTCCAGATGATAAAAACAAATTCAACTTTAATTGTAATAGTCATTTCTTGGTTAACCTGTTGTTAATGAGGTGAGTGTTTGTAATGTGTGAAGGATACATTCCACAATTGTACTAGCTGTATTCTTGATGAAACAAAAGGAAGTTGGCCTGATCTGCTAATTATGGTACTATGTGATGAGTGGAGGAAGTGCAAAAGAAGTATGTTATGCCCATACTTCCCCTTATTAAATGTGTCCGTTATTTCCTTTTAGATGATAAATTAATGTGAAGAGCATGTCACTTGCAGCTATTGAAGCTTCTTCTCCAAGGAAAGATCCTAAATCAATGCTTTTGCCAGCACACAAGTCCCTTTCTGAAGGTATGATTGTTCCTCTCTTCCCTTCTTGATCTCTTGGCTTTAATTACTTTAAGGTTATGAAAAAGAGAAAAAGCCCAAAATAGTCCCTTATCTTTGGGTTAAGACTCAAAGTCATCCTTGAATTTTTACATGGAACACTAATAGTCCCTCATATTTGCAATATTGGTGCACTTTTGGTCCTTCCTCAAACTTTTGCCTATTTTTAACATTGATTTTATCCACAATTTATGTATGGAATGCTTAATCTTCTTTTTATTTATTTAGTGGAAATTATATCCCCATGTGAGAGAAGGTGAGAAGAACACCTTGTTTTATTTAGTAGAAATATTACTACAGCTAAAATCGAGAGGTTTATCACATTGATTTCACGTGCAATAATACAAAATTTTCTTTTCTTGCAACATCATATGTCAAGGTGTTCTTAGTTTAGTTGCAATTATATTTCTACCGAACAGAACAAGGTGTTCTTCATCACCTTCTCTTACATGGAGTTATTATTTCTACTAAATATATAAAAAGATGATTGAACATTCCATATATAAAATCATGGACAAAATCAACATTAAAAAATAAGCAAAAATTTGGGGGAGACCAAATATACACCAATATTGCAAACACGAGGGACTAGTAGTGCTCCATGTGATAACTCAAGGGTGACTTTTGAGTCTTAACCCATAGATAAGGGACTATTTTGGGCTTTTTCTCTATGAAAAGTAACTTCTAATTATTTACAGTCTACTGCACGTTTGATTGGCATCTTCCGACTCTTCTGCTTTTAATTTTTTTGTACTGTTTTTTCCATGACAGAAGTTGCTTCTGGGGAATCATCTTTTGCTGCTGGTGAAAGATTGTTCGAGATTGTCAAGGTTGTCCTGCATCTTATCAGACATGAATGCTGATATTTAATAAATATTTGGGCTTCCAAATGCTTGAGATGGAAAACTAGTGTCCACTGGGAATCTCCAATAATTAATAAACTCGGCTTTAAATTGATATCCTGCTAATCTTTGTTTTGATAATCTACAGGTGTTTGTACTACTTCATCAGCTTCATATTTTTTCAGAAGGAAAATTGTTGCCCGATCAACCTCCTATACATCCTACAGTTGATGTCATGGAAACATCCCGAGCAAAAAGGGCTGGCATTGACAGTTTGGGTCCAAAACAAAGCGCTGAATTAAGTCTTGGTCAGTTTCTGTTTTTTGTTCTTCCTATATTCTTCTTTACAGCATTTCTGAACCTCAAAAAAGAAGAAAAGAATTCATAACCTACCAATGCCACACCAAATACTAGACCAAATGGTATTGACATAATCTGCTCTATGAAGGAACCTGTTGTCAACGTTCTAAACCTGCTTTGCTCTGTTGTTCTGTAGTTGATGCGGTTCCTTGTAGAATTGCATTTGAGAGGGGCAAAGAACGTCATTTCCACTTTCTAGCCATCACTATAGGAACCTCTGGATGGCTTATCCTTGCTGATGAATTACCTGTGAGGCCAAGCTTTGGTGTGGTTCGTGTAGTTGCACCTCTGGGTGGTTGCAATGTAAGTATACCTTTTTTTGGGCTAATACTGCTATCCATTTTTTTTAATAAGCTATGCCCTGTTTTATTAGGTAGATTTTGTATTAAAAATGACTAGGCTGCTTTAGATAAAACTCAGACCTTGCATTGAGTAGCTTTAGAAGAACTACCAAATAGAAAGCAAACAACCTACTCGAAATGAACCTGAAAATTCGACCTTGCAATGGTATCCCTAATGCCAGTGATCTTTTGAAATGGAAATCTCATTAATTACTACTTCCCAATCGGTGCTAGACTGGAATATTCTTTGAAGAAAAAATCAGTATTTATATTCTATTTGGTCTATGGTTGTCATTTTCTTGCTTTCCCACTTCAGCCCAGAATTGACGAGAAGCACATGAGATGGTTACACCTTCGAATACGTCCATCCTCTTTCCCTTGCATAGATGGTGCAAAGCATACAGCCCATCCTAAAGTCAAGTCAAAAGCTTTGGTCGATGGGCGGTGGACTCTGGCTTTTCGAGATGAAGATTCTTGCAAAGCTGCTTTTTCTATGATTGTTGAAGAGCTCAAGTTACTGAGTAGTGAGGTTGAGAGAAGAATAAAACCTATGCTTGCCATTGAAAGAACTATTGACACTTCAACAAAATAGATTCAGGTGTCATGAGAGTACGTCTACAAGAATATGACCATATAGGGATTTTTGAGATTTTCACCAGTTTGATATTTCATTTTCTCTCCCTCTCTACCCCAATATCATTTTACAGCAGGTGGTGGAGATAATATTAAAGCTTTACCACCCTTTTGTACATGTTAAAGGAAGCCCTAGGTGTCTGTAAATTAGAGTATGTGATAGTGCCCATTCTTGTATATTAGGTTACTTTTATCATTTCTGATTTATTAACTTCACTATTATGTATGGTCAATTTTTTAGTTCTTTGAATCCTCCTTCCTCACATATGTAAAGATGTTGTAGCAACTCTGCAAAATGTAAAAGTTGTGTTGTGAGCGAGCTTCTGTTTTCACCAAGTTTGCTCAGTTTTCAGTTACTGCAAGTATGTTAAAAATTGGAGTTGCGTGCATTTATGAAGTATCTGTCAGTGTTTCATTCTATTGCAGCAAGTGTTTCATCTGTATATTCTAATGTGATCAAATTATTTCTATAGTTTTTTTTATCTGTTTTACTTTTTAGCTGTTGAAAATCGATATAAACATTTACATGCATCAAACTACATGAAGAGCCAATTGCAGCATTAGTCAAATTCATCATTCGGAAAAATGGTATGCAGTGAAGAATACACTGTACGTATTCATAAGATACCTATATAAAGGAAATTTTACACGGAACGGAACCTTCGGAACCTTGATATCAACCGGTACTCATCTTTTTAAAAGTTTTTGGGTATTCAGTTTTAAAGTTGGGCCTAATTATGTACGTTTTTTTTGTTTCATTCAATGTCTGCGGTATTGTTTCCACAAATCTCATCAAAAAGGGTTTACATGACTGCTAGCTTTGGACAAAGATGTAGTATAAGAAGACCTTTATTAATAAAGATAACTTTACCCCTTAATGGGTATGGCTAGCGATGGAAATGAGGGCTGGGCGGGTTTTGTCAAACCCACAAAATTCTCAATTCGCTCTGCCTCGTCTTACATAGCATTTTTTCTATTCTCAACCTGCTTGGCCACAGCCTAATAAATCCGCTGTCCCACTTAAGTTTTTTTTCTTACTTTATTACTTACGTATACAAATATTTTAAAGATTTATAAAGTACCATTGAATAATTTAACAGTTGATTTAAAACTATTTTATTAGGGTTTTAGCTAGCAAAATTGATAAAATATAATTTTAGGTAGTAAAGTCATGAACAATTTTTTTTTAAAAAAGTTTTTACCATTAACAGAGGTTTAATCAATAATTGAAAATAAACCCTAGATCCAAATCTTTAAAAAGTAAAAAAAAGTGGCAGTCATCTAAAACTTTGTTGACAAATATTGTAGGAGACCCGCCCTCGCCCTGCACCCGTATAATATTTAAAAATCAAGGCTTTTGACCCGTCTTGCCTCGCAGTCGCATCCGCTTAGAGATTGACCTGCATAGCTTTACACCCATACCGCCTCATTGGCCATCTTAGGTATGACATAACTATTCTGTTGGATTGACCATGTAACTCATGACAGATTAATTATTCTGAGTACTCATGATGGATTAATTGTTCTGAGTAAAGATTGTAAATTTTATGTTGTTGGATAGTCAATGTTTCTTTCTTTTCACTTCAATTTGTAGTCAATGTGTTCTATACACATTAACCCACTTCCCACCTCCAACAAATGTCCTACATTCTATTTTCTCTCATCACAGCTATCGTGTCCCTTTCCAGGGCCTTCTTAACCCCTAGGCCACTAAAGCCATGCTTGGAATCCCATATATTTTGGGCTCTCATTTTAAAAAAATAATTACTTATACATGTAATTTTTTTTAAAAAAAATTATATGTACTATGAGTGTTATGGTTTCTACTAAGGAAATTGCATATGAGATTAAAATAAATCTAAATTTCGTAAGAAACAATTTGATGAAAATATGGATAGCGAAATCACAAAGTCGCATGAAGAATTTTTTAGAGTTGATTGCTTTATATATGTAGAGTAGATCAAATTGCTTTTTCACATCAAAATAGATTTGAACCAATTGAAGCATATGGAAATATTTTTGATTTCTTATTTAGAGGTAAAATATTGAGATCACTAGATGATGAGAATTTAAAAATAAATTGTCTTAGCCTTGAACTTTCTTCAACATGTAATAGTTATTCTGATATTGATGGTTTATAGTTATTTTTTGAATTAAAAGTGTTAAGGAAAATAATACAAGTGGAAAATAATGATCTAATGAAAATACTCAATCAAATAAAAAGACTTGATTCATTTTCAAATACACATATTGCTTATAGAATAATGTTAACAATTCCTGTAACCGTTGCCTTAACCGAAAGAAGTTTTTTTGAAATTAAAATTGATTAAATCTTCTTTAAGATCAACAATGTCTCAAGAGAGATTGAATGGATTAGCTATATTATCATTTGAAAAAGAATTATTAAAACAAATTGATTATAAAACAGTACCTAATGACTTCACATCTAAAATAGCTAGAAAAATAGATTTTAAATAAAAGTATATATGATAAAAAAATAATAATATTAGGGTCCCTCTCTTCAATTTCGCTTTAGGCCCCCAATATTGTTAAGTCGGCCCTATCCCTTTCCACTAATTTTTACCCCTACTAGTCATGGAAGCTGCCACTTATCTACAAGAATATTTATTAGAGAATCCCATAGTTCTTCTTCTGGCCCTTTGGTCACAAATTGCATGCATATAATATTGTCACCATCATTTCTTCACTATTTTGTTAATGTGTTACCCTAACAATAAGATGTTTTATAATATATGACACAATGTTTACATGCACCTCATCATTAGTAAATATACATATCTTTTCCTGAACAATTGGCTATAACATTTGGCACCTCCGAAAATGCTTCTATATCTGTCTAGAGTATTTGGATCTTGAAAAAGCTCAATTGGGTCCTATTATATTGATTTCTTCTGTTTATTAGTCAATATCTTAAAAGCTTTGCTTAGAGTTGACTGATCTAATATTTTAATTTACAATAAGACCTTCTTCATCATAAGTGATTAAGAGGCAGCAAGCCTCTTGGGTAGTTTTCTAGTTGGAGAAGGAACTTCTTATTACCTTTTTCACCTTTTACTTTTGTGATGAATCCGATCTCTCTTCTTGTCTCGCAGAGAGCCCTCAAATATTGGCAAGTCGACCAATTTTCTTCTCTAGACTATCAATAGAATCGTCCTCTTCCCTTTTTTCAAATACACCCATCTCTATACTAGGTGTTGACATTCAATTTTGGCTCTCCATATTTAATTAATTAAGCTTCCATAATAATAATAATGATAATAATAATAATAATAATAATATACATATGTTACGAAATTTTGTAGGAATACGAAAACATTTTTAAAATATAGTTTTTATCTTATTCGATAAATTTTATTTCATAAATATTATTTCTTATAAAAAAAAATATATTTTATGTAAATATTACTACTTACTTTCTCATTTTTAAATTTACGTCAAATAAATATTGTTCTTAAGGGTTAACTCGATTTTTCTAATTAAATACAATTTCTATTAATGCGATAAATATTTTTTGTTCAAATTGGGAAGCTTAGTTAATTAATGAGTTACTAACTTATATGAATTTTTATTTTTTAGAATGACTAATTTTATCAAATAAGTAATCTTGCAAAATAATTGTTTTTAATTTAGTAATTATGGCTATTTAATAAAGAAGATGTTATAATTTAAATGATTTAATTTGAGCAAAATTTGGCAATCCAAGTCATCCTAATTAGGCCAATCCGCACGTGCCACGTAGGAAGCACATGGATTGTGCTTCTTTAGCTTCAATCTCGGCTCTACGATCTAGTCTAACGGCTTTATTTAAGGGAAAAAAACTTAAGTATACAAATAAAGTATCTTAATTACAGCTATATGACAATATTTTTTTTCCACCTATATAACAATAGTTTTTTTTCAAAGTTATGTTTTATATTAAAAAAAATTTAAAAAAAATGTGAATTCGTGCTCCACGATTTATGGTATTCCCATTTTTCTCAAATCCCATGATTTACTCAAAGTGGTTATAAATATTTTTTCCTACCAATAAAAGGTTTCTTAACAAATATAAAACTCTCTTTCCATTCATTCTGATCGACTGTTCATGATACCAACAATTATTCAATCCTAATTCAATATAAAGGACGTTGGGAAACATCAGGTGTTAATTATACTTTCAATATATAATTGGTGTTTTTCTAATCATGTAATTGAAAAACATGATTATTGTTGTTGTTACTCACCAATTCCGTGATTTGGATTTTTTTTATTAATTTTTTTTTCCATGGTTTTGAGATTCGAAAAACAAATAATATTTAGTAATTGTCTTTTTTGGTAATTGATTTGGTGAAAGTAATCTTTTTAAATTATCAAAATTATGGACTGCATGCTCAGTATACTATTGATTTTTTTTGGTGTCATTCGGTATAGGTTTTATTGTTCATGATTATGTAAACGCATTGATTAAATTTTGGTCATAATAATGGTTTAAACACCATATTTACATTAAAAATCACTTTTAAAAAAATTAAATTTTGTCTATCATGAGTTGATTAATTAATGGTGTAATATAGGTTGTTGATATTCACCCATTCCGATTTTTTGATTTTTTTAATTAATTCTTTAATTTTGGTGAATATTTAGTGATTATCTGGTTTGGTATTTTTTTGGTGAATTTAATCATTTTTAATTATCAAAATATTGGACTGCATTCAGAGTTGGTATTTGGTGAAATTAATCGTTTTAATTTATTTGGTGAACTGTTGATTTTTTTGGCGTCATTCAGCGTTGGTTTTATTGATGTACATGATAATGGTGAACATATTGATCATATATTAGTACATGATGCTGCTGTAAACACCATATTTAAGTTACAAATTATCTTGTCAGCAAAAACATGCTTTAAAACATAATATATAATTTGAAAACGCTGAACTGACCATTATGTTTGATGAGGTTCACAATAAATAATCCTTAATGTGAAACAGTTAGATACGTTGATTACGATATTGAAAGTGTGATATATGATGTAAACACCAAATATAAAGGTTTAATTATCACTACTGCTTCCCAATTAGGTGTGGACATTACAATTTTTCATTTAGAACTGAAATGTGTCGTTAGTGGTCCATCTCTACCAATGAAGATTCATAACGATATGGGCGTCCATTTTTATTTAGATAAAAATGCAATTATGATTTCTTTTCAAAATATCTATTATGTGTAACATGTGTGGATAGAGCTATGGAAGCCATTGTTTATCAAATTGGTGTCCAAACAACAAGGCAAGATATTATCAGATCAAATA